AAACGTAAACGTAAACGTAACGTAAACGTAACGTAAACGTAAACGTAACGTAACGTAACGTAACGTAACGTAAGTAAGAACGAAGAAGAAGAGAGAGAGAGAGAGAGAGAGAGAGAGAGAGAGAGAGAGAGAGAGAGAGAAAAGAGAGAGAGAGAGAACCTGGAGACATGCTCCCATATGGGTCCTTTCACATTGGAGTCCCCCATGCCAGCTTCGATGCTTGACCTGAATTTCATGAAAATCCCCATGACTTCAACATGATGGCTTCAAAATTTATTACACAACTCAATTCCTAAATAGAAATGCAGTAAAATTAACACAGCAAACTTATAAACCAAAAAATAATGAAAAATAGATATATTTATAGCCCAGAAAGAGAAATGAACTGAGATAAAAGCTGGACCTGATTCCTATTAATAACCCATAACCCCAAAAAAGAAAAGAAGAAAGAGATGAACAGTAGACCTGATTTTGAGGAGAGCTAAAGTTTCTTCTCTGGGCCACCGGTTACTAGCTTCACAAATAGATCTATTATCAGTCATGAGCTCTTCTTCTTCCAAGCCATCAGCGTTCTTATTATCTTTGAATGGATCAGATTGGTGCAATTGCCTGAACAAACCAAGCTCATTAGAGGGGTTATTCTGCAACTGAGGGTTTCCTGGTCCTATTCTCAGATCTGGAGGTTGAGCATCAATGGTGAAAAATGGCGGAGGTGAGAGATTCATTGGAAGGGAATGGGCAGATCTTGCAGCCAAGAGCTGATGTATATGATCAGATACACCATTGAACTCGACACTGGACTGCATCTTCAGCACTTGGGTTGGATTCTCTCTCTCTACTCAGTCACTTTCTCTCTCTTACCTTCTCTTTGAGGGTTTTGTATAGAGGCCCAAAGAGATCTCACCCCATGTGTCCCATTTCCACTGTCATGCTTCTCTCTCTCTCTCTCTCTCTCTCACTCAAATGATTTTTTGAATAGAACCGAAAAGAGATCACTACCCGTGTGTACCTTTTCCACAGTTGCACTGATTCTCTACTTTGAACTCCTTTTTGCATGGAAACCGAAAGAGATCTCTCTCCATATGTCCCAATTTCACCATTATAATACCCCTGCAACAACCCTCTATCTCATCAACTGATTATTTTGGGGAGCTAAACAGGCTTAGAGATAGAGAGAGAAGGAGAGGAGAAGTGAAATTGAATAATAAAAAACAAGTGGGAGACGAGTGAGAAAGGTGTGAGCAATAAGACTAGGACCCGCATTGCAAGGGCGGGCCGAACCTGGATAAAAAACATGAGGAGGATTCTCAGCAAAGACGGTGGGATTAGGGTTCTCGTCACGTGTCCTCATCTGATTCGTTTAAGCTTCCAGGTTTCATTTTATTTGGTGCTCTTTCTCTCTCTTCACCTGTGAGATTACAAGAATGCCCTTCCTCTTCAAGACCTATATACCCCTGTGTTTTATAAAATGACACGTTTATCCTCACTAGGCTAGGTTCATGAAGTTCCCGTTTATCTACATTTCCCCGGTGGTTATCTCCATTCAATATAAAGGAACGTAAGGGTGACAACGGGCCGTGTGCCGGGTCAGGCCAGGCTTGCTCCTAGCTTGGACATTGTCGTCATAGGGCCCTGGCCCAGTTAGGGTTGGGCCGGGCCAAAAATAAATGAAAAAAAAATAAAAGAAGAAACAATAAAAGCACATGGGTTTTGCATGTTGCTATATATTACATGATTCATCTTTTGTGTTCTAATCCTTATTTGAGCAGGATAGCATGGTTTGTTGTTAGACCAATGGTTGTGTGCCAATAACAGTGCATGTATGTAATTTGGGGTTTGCAGAGAACTTTAATTCAAAATCGCCTATTCAACTCGAGAATCGTTGAGTCTGATCGGTTCAGAGACCGACAATTCCTGGCTTAAAAAACCCAAACCCGAGAATTGCCCGATTCTCTTATCCGATCCCTAATGAGGCACCACATTTGAAATACTAGTGAAGAGTACATGGAAAATATTCCTAAAATGATATTGTAGACATTTGAAATGGCAGTGGCAAATGAGGTGCCCCTCACAATTCGTAATTGCCCAAACCCAGCTGCCTTCCAGCAGCCTGCAGCTTACTGTACGTTTGAAAACGACTTTCAAATGAAAGGTACAGCTTTCAAAATTATTCTCCACCTATATATTGTTTTGTTATTAATAACCACTAAAAAAAGGAAAAGAAATTTCAAAAGCATAAAGTCTGATACGTCCCTTTAAACTCTGACAATTTTGCTACATGCATTTTCCACAACTAAAAGGTACCCAAAGTGCTCCTATAGTGAGCTCTTATAGATGAACCTCATAAAATGCATACTTACTAAGGAATTTACCAAAAGGGTGGGGTTAAGATGCTAACTTTGTTATACAAGTAAGGCATATTTTTCAATTTTGTTGGACGATATAGCTTTTATCTCTAAACTTTTATTTCAATTTTAAATATAAAATATAAAATTTAAAAAATGATGCAGATTGAACAAATCTATAAATATTTGAAAATCTTAAAAATGGACGGTTGAAATAATTTGTTACAAATTTTTTTGTTTTTAGGACTTGAAATTCTTTTTTTTCTCTTTTTTATCCATACATCTCGAAGTCGATGATAAATTTGAAGGTTTTTCAACTTCAAAATGCAATTTTCTACTAGATTTTTGAAATGAACCTTATTTCTATGGTATAAGGTTGCAACCTTATATAAAGTTTTTCCTTATCAAAATGCACCTTATTTATTAACTATTTAATATTTTAGATTTTTTATTGTTTCAACTCATAATAGTATGTATTTTGAGAATAAAATATTTAAAAACAAATAAATATGAAATTAATGGAGTTTATGAAATTAATTCAAAATAAATAAATAAAATGTTAGACATTCGTCTCCTCTTTCCCTTTTTGAAATCACCCTATAAAATACAATCTCTTTAAAAAATAAAATAAAAAACCTATCACGCCAAACACCCACACTCCTCACATGGGGTGAGGGGCATATACCTACACACATGTACATATAGAAAGAGATTTCCCTTTAACACTCGCACCTACTAATGTCTAAAGTAACATGAAAAGCATGGATAATTTATTAGATATTGTCTAGATCCAAAAGATAGATATTCATGATATTCTTCATTATTTTTGTTTACTAACATATTTTTTTTTTGAAGAACTTTGGTTTAATGACATATTCCTGGTGAAAAATGGTGACGCAAGCCATGTGACTTGTGGGGCTCTCAATACGTCCAAATACGTGTTCCAATATGGGCTTTTGGTTCTGATTTTTGTAACCTTCAAAAGAAATAAACGGACTTGGACAGCGTCCACCTGCAGATCTCAGTTTATATTTACTCCCTCGAGTAATATACAGGATTTTCTTTCTATTCAAAATTATAGGATTCACTCTAGAAGCCCAAAAAGAGTATTTAAAAAAAAAAAAAAAACGATATTGAATTCCCAATACCTAGAACATACCTTTCAAAAACTAGGCAATCTCCATTCAATGTTGGGATCTTTAGTGTTTGCCAATTTTATCAAAATACAATTGAGAGATGATATGTTAAATATTTTGTTTGTATTATTTATTTCATTATTACCACCATTCAAGTCTTATCAAAACTATTTGGGTCGGCTACATGAATCTTGTTCTTTCATTCCACTCTATCATGGGCTATACTCTTAGTCAAACCATAAGTTAACATACATTTTGTTACTACTTCTATCTATATCCTTTTGAACATGCTTATTGCCTTTTTAGAGCTTTCCACTAGAACTAAATTGTAATCGATGATGTTCTAGGTCGACGCTGGACATGACCAGTCCGCGTAAGTCTAATTTTGTTACCCCTAAGTTCTCTCAGACGCATTCATTTTGAATTTTATCATTGCTTATCTTTCCACTCATCCATCTCAGCTACAAGTATTCTATGGATATATTAGTTTTTGACCGCCCAACATTTCGTCCTGTGAAGTATAACTCGTTTTATAGTCATCCTATAAAACTTCTACTTCAATTTCATTAGTACACGATGATCATATCAAGCTCCAGAAGCACATCTCCACTTCATCCACCCAACTCTATTTCTATATGTGACATCTTCCGCAATCTCTCCATTCGCAGAGGTTATCGACCCTAAATCTTGAAAATAATCTCTTTTAGGTCACGTGATTCAAATAGTTGACGTAAATAAAATATTTAATAATTAATAAATTAGACCTATTTTGTTAAATTTTCTCTATTTTTTAAAGTAAACATAGTATGAATATGGTTTTTTTTTTCTCATTCGAGGTCACTTGATAGGTCAAGGAGGTTACATTCGCGCAAATGCGGCCCTAAAGATCTGCAGATCATTTTTCCTAGAGTATGTACCCGCGGGAGCACAACATCCTTTTGTGGAATAAAACATAGGGGACGTGTAGCTTGGACTCGAGCTAATTATTGACACATCAGTAGGGACACGGCATCGAGACTTGTTTTGGACCAAAGAACCCCCCTAACCATGCACGTGAAGCTGACGATTCTATTGTCACTCCAGTGAAAAGGCACACGTGTAAAAATAGTCGGTCAATATTCCTGTCGGCTTGGGGGCATATGGAAGAAGTACGCGTTTCAAAGTCTTGGATGGGCAATTTGGCCACTTGGATCGACCAACCGGGCCGATTTTCCCGAGTGGGAATAAAAAATAGTTGACCGATCTAGATTGCCGAGCACACTCACCTTGTTTTATTAGAATGGTTCCGGACAAATGTATTCAAGTTGGACTCATTCTCAATTCCAACAAACAACCGGCTCGCCAGGAACCATTTTCCGGTACGGACCGGCAATACCTTATCAGAAATTAGAAAGCTTTAAATCATTGAAAGAAGTGCTGTAGCAAAATATATAGGCTAAATAGATTTACCATGCACATCGGCCCTCATCAGTGGATAAAATTGCAAGAAACAAAAGGAAGAGTACCGAAGATTATTTCAACCAGGCTTATTACACCCTATACCGAGTCACCACTATCCAATAGCGCGGGATCAACAGTCTAGCTTCAATCTCGAACCGAAAAACAAATTTCGGTTATGCCACATTAATGGAAAATGAACCCTTTTGATCACAAACTCAAACTCTAGGTGAATTCTTTTATCAACCTAGTTTGAGAGAGATGGATTCTCTTTTTGTTAAACCCTAAAACCTTTAACCATAAATCCACATTTGAGAGATAGGAGAGAAGAACTCCATTACCTAAACCCTTCAGTTCTTTCACAATATGGGAAAGAGAGATCAATCATGAGAGAGATAAACTTTATTAAGAAAGAGATGGAAAGATAAGGTGTAGAGATTTTTTGGTAGAGACAATCCCTTTTTATAGGGCTTTGAATAAGATTAGAGCTTCTTAGGGTTTTCTTTGGCTTGCCTTTCCTTGTGAGATTGAACATAGACCGTCGATCAAGGTTGACTTGTGGGATGCGATATCTGAGCTATCCATTCTATAGATGGGCCATCAACATTATGGAATGTGTGTGAACCATTATCCTCCTTTCCTAAACAATTTTATCATCAATAGAAATTAAATAAATTAAATCTAATTAAAATATTGTGCATACTATAAAATAGCACAAGTCTACCCAATCTTTCTACAAAATCTTTCAAAGATATATCAAATCAATATTTAATCAATATCTTCCAACCATATGGTCACATGCCATATCACCAAAAAATAGGAAAGAGAATAAGGGTGTGTCGTGCCACCCAAGGGAGGCACTCATTGGCCCCACCTTCTAAAAATATGGTGGGCCCATGTGCACAATGGGCCCCCATGATATTTTTATATATTGAAAATTAATAAAAATATTTTAGAATATTATTTGAATATTTAAACAATTGTAAAATCAATATATTTAATTTTATAAATCCAAAAATTATAAATAAAATATCTATGGGTTCATAAAAATTCAAAAAATAATCTTAAAATAATATCTATCATAAACAATTAAATTAATTTGATGAGAAAATAATCCGTATGGTTTAAGAATCAACAATCATGGGGCACTCCACCTTCAACTGTGGACAATAGACCACACTTGCTTTATCAGACCGACCCAGCGTTTCCCATGACGCACAGTCTAAGCATGGGCTCATTAGGGGGTTACCAAAGTCCGGCCGATGAGCCAAGGGATCACAATCCCAGTCTGTGGATTTCAGGTCCTCCCCTAGCGACGAGTCAAGGTCACCTAGACCTGATGCGACCATATCTCCTATGATGCATAGGGGTATATCTCGCACATGCATACACTTCACCTTAAAAA